CAGAGGGCACCTCCCTCTCAGCTTTAAGGTGACAGAGGGCACCTCCCTCTCAGCTTTAAGGTGACAGAGAGCACCTTCCTTCAGGCGCATGGTGTGGAGTCATGCTTGCTGCCTCTGCATGAAGCTTCTGTTCAGGGCTCTGATCTGGCAACTCTTGATCTTGGAAGCCGGGGCTTTAATTGCAGGGGCCCTTAGAGAAGGCAGTTTAGCCCCTGGGCCTAGTAATGCCCTGTGTGTGATGGTTGCTGGTGCCTAACGCCCGTCAGGGCCCTTCGGCTTCCACTTCCTCTCTTCTGTTCCTGCAGGCGCAGCCCGTCCGTCTTTTCCCTCCTCCTTGAAGGCACAGCTTCTAGTCTTAGAGAGTTAGCGCAGCGATGACATTCCTGGGGAGTTGTTTCTGGGGCTCTCCTGTTGAGGTGGCAACCTAAGAACCCCCCAGCAAAGCCACCAGGGAACTTTCCTCACAAACATCAACGGCCTTGCCGAGGAAGGACATTTCCTGTCATTGGTCATGCTGATGCTTCTCTGTCTCCACACAGGGGGTGACGACGGCCTACTGAGGGGCTGGGACACCAGGGCACCTGGCAGATTTCTCTTCACCAGCAAGAGGTCACTGCCCAAGGGCCAGCACTCGGTGCCCACACCAGCCTCCCGTTCCCTGACACCAACCCTCCCATTCCCTGGGTGCCCACACCAACCCTCCCATTCCCTGGGTGCCCACACCAGCCTCCCACTCCCTGGGTGCCCACACCAGCCTCCCATTTCCTCGGTGCCCACACCAGCCTCCCGTTCCCTGGGTGCCCACACCAACCCTCCCGTTCCCTGGGTGCCCACACCAGCCCTTGTCCCCTGGGTGCCCACACCAACCCTCCCATTCCCTGGGTGCCCACACCAGCCCTTGTTCCCTGGGTGCCCACACCAGCCCTTGTTCCCTGGGTGCCCACACCAGCCCTTGTTCTCTGGGTGCCCACACCAACCCTCCCATTCCCTGGGTGCCCACACCAGCCCTCCCATTCCCTGGGTGCCCACACCAGCCCTTGTTCTCTGGGTGCCCACACCA